AATTTACAAGAAACCAAAGAAAAAGGTTTGACTTGACTATAAAAATTATACCAATTATTTACTGTTAAAAGGATATTCAGATGCAGATTAGGCAACAGATAAAAGTGACAGAAAGAGTGCAAGCGGCTGTATGATACTTTATGGGCAAAATCCAGAGGCAGAATTATGTAGTATTTTCGACCGTAGAAGCGGAGTACGTGGTAGCGGCTGCTTGTGCTCAAGTCGCTCAAGACCTCATAAATATTAAGGGCATTTTGAGTAGGTAGGTAACTTCCGAATCATTAATGAGACAATACTTTATTGTGATAATAAAAGTACCATTTCAATGTCAAAGAGCAATGAAAATTCGAAGAGGGCGGAAGATATAGATATCAGAAATAATTATCTGAAAGATTTGGTTGCCAGTTGCCAGAAATGAGTTGTTGATTAAATATTTCAACCGATCAAAATCTGGCAGATATGTTAACAAAACCTTTGTTTGGGTAAGGATTCATTTATACATATATTTTACGGATGAGGCACTTATATAAATAAGTATTTAGTTTTCACGATTTTCACGTTAAAGTAGTAGCTAGTAGCCTTGATTGTGTATCTACTGGGTAGTTTTGTTTAATCTTGTTTATAGTTTCTATAGTATTATTATCAATAGTTGCCGTCAAGATAGATTATCAGTGTTTTACATAATTAAGAAGTTCTCTTGAAATAAATATTGTAACTGCTTGGAATAGGTACATCATATCAAATCTTCCCAAGCCTCAATACCATACTATGATACATTTTATGAGTCCACAACATGTCTGGCAAGACATATTGTGACTATGATGATGGTATGAATCAAATGGTGCACATGACAAGAGTCCATTTTGCTGAGTCCTTCCAGGAGCCTCAATTTTGAAAAATCTAAGCAGTGATCTCTGAGAGGCCAATAAATAACTGTCTTTGACTCTTTATTCGATCAAAAGAATCATCGTTGTTCATTAGACAGAGTTAGCAACAATTATTTTTCACTAACATTTGTATTGTTTTATGAATACTTTAGCTTTTAAATCACGTTTTAAACTTTCAAGGATTCCTATTCAACAGTTCGTTATTAATATTTTCATATCCAATACTCAATATCAAAATTGTTTCTATACTTGTTAAATCGTAACAATCTGTTTCCTATTAGGCAATCAAACCTGCAATACGGTCGTAAAGATAGCAAATTTACTAAACTCTTAAACTAAATACTTATAAAATAAAGAACGCATATTACCACCAAGCGGGGTCTACAATTATTGAATTGAAATAAAATAATCCACAAACTTAACGATAACCGCTCCGGACACGGATTAGACATAAACGCCAGTACGTTATTATTAACGCCGTCAATTAAATATTATTTTTAACTTCCCGTCTTCCTTCCAGAGGCACGATACTGTGAGAAAACTTTTATCTTCGATAAGATCTTTTAAAAAGCGGTCTTCAATAAAAATATCAAGAGGCACCCAGACAAAATGCAATAAAAATTCTTTTGAGAAGAGAACACTCATATGGAATCATGCAACATCAGAACGTGCTAATCATATTATATGCCTATAAAAAATATCAATTTATTGATAGAAGATTTCCCAGTTGAAATTGCCATTGGTTGTAGCTCTGCTTATGTACAACCACCATTTTGAAGTTTTTTTTTCCGTATGCTTTTTATCGGTTTGTCTACCTCCACTACTCACACATACATATGTATGCATTGAACTGTCCCATTCGTTTATCCGAGCGGCAAACCCCTTATGGAACCAAACTATAGACAATGGAGCATTGTATGGTCGCAATTTACATAATGCCGCGAAGATCTTGACAGTCCCGTTTCGGGCCCGCTTATATTCCCATCCCATAGATTTATGGGAAACTATCTAGTTTTTAAAATCGGTTGCAAGATGGCAGCAACTTGTTTTTTGAAATATATACAGAAAGTTGATAGTGAAACAATCCAACTGCAACCAGACAATAGATATAGTCCCCAGTACATCGACCTTAAAATTTTGTAACTCATGTACACGCCCAACTTCCTTAGCGGCTTCATAACACCAAGTCGGACAATATTTTTCATGTCTCCTCCCTGGGCGATGAGACATTGCTGCGCTACGTGTAGTTTCAATGCCAATCGACTGTTTTTTATATTACATTAACGATATCACATTTGTCGGACAAAAATCATGTGGCTTTGGGGAAGGTTTGACACCCCCAACATGTCGCTGTGGCGTCCTTAAGGAAGTTGATACATGTACGTGTAGTTTTAATGCCAATCGACTGTTTTTGTATTACATTAACGATATCATATATGTCGGACAAAAATCACGTGGCTTCGGGGGGGTCCGACGCTCTCAACATGTCGCTGTGACGTCCCTAAGGAAGTTGATACATGTACGTGTGTTTTTAATACCAATCGACAGTTTTTTACATTACATTAACGATATCACATTTGTCGGACAAGAAATTTTAGACAATCAATGAAGAAATTAAAATTTGTTTGCCTTAACGCAACGTGCATATTAGTCAGTTTATTATTAACCTACTTTGTCAAATACCTGTAGGGCCCTGTGTCATATTCCCTGATCTGTTTTTTTGAAAGTTCTCCGAGTATTTACGGAAATTATCTAGTGAACGGTCATTCAAAACCACGCGTGTGAGAAAGAATGGATATTCAGTCGTGTTTTTTGTGATGAATTTCGGCAGAAATTGATCATAAGGACTTTTGTTGTCCGACTGACTTTAATACTCATTTTTTTTGTCCGACATTTACTACACATGTTTTAAAATTACATTGTTATTCATAATTATTTTTGTCGGACATACATGTATCAACTTCCTTAGGGACACCACAGCGACATGTTGGGGGCGTCGGACCCCCCCAAAGCCACGTGATTTTTGTCCGACCTATGTGATATCAATAATGTAACATAGAAAACAGTCGATTGGCATCAAAACCACAAGTACATGTATCAACTTCCTCAGGGACGCCACAGCGACATGTTGAAGGCGTCGGACCTTCCCCAAAGCCACATGGTTTTTGTCCGACAAATGTGATATCGTTAATGTAATATAAAAAACAGTCGATTGGCATTGAAACTACACGTACATGTATCAACTTCCTTAGGGACGTCAGAACGACAACTTCATAAAGAGCTAGCGCGGCAATGTCCCATCGCCCAGGGTGGAGATATGAAAAATATTGTCCGACTTGGTGTTATGAAGCCGCTCAGGAAGTTTGGCGCGTACATGAGTTACAAAATTTTAGGGTCGATGTACTGGGGACTAATAGGCTGACCCAATAAAAAGGTTTTTTTCTCGGTTTTTTTAATTTAATTTTTTCAAACTTAAAAAAAAGAAGGATGTTGTGGTACGAACATGCGGAAGAGTACCAAAACGACTTATACTATAAAGTTGCGTTGATAAAATGACTGACCATGCTTGGCTTCCAAAAACTTTTACCTTTGACAGGTCATTCTTATTATATCATCTTAAATCCGGTGTTTCACTGCTGTTCGCTTTGGTAGGTGACCTGTTTAGTTCGTATGTTGATTGTTGTTGTTGTTGTATTGGTTCACTCCAAAAGTTCCTTGGAGATTAGTTTCTGCAAGTTTTGTCCTTACTTTGTCTAAAAGAGTTCCTGACGTTCCGTGTTTTTGTGGAGTATATGGCATGGTGTACTCAAGCTCAAGACCTTTATTCCTACAAGAATCTTGAAAATAATTTTAGATAAATTCTTCACCACTATCAAACCTTATTCGTCTTGTATTCAGCCCATGTTGAGTTTTAATTAAATTAATAAAATCGATAACATTGTGATCACTTTCAGTTTTGTATTTGACATTTTTGTATTTGACATGGTTTCCTAGTACTTTTACCTTGTATACAAGTAGATATTACGAAAAAATCTAATAATGTGATTTAATCTACTTTGTTGATTTTGCTCAAAACATACACCCAATAGAATACAGATTCGAAGACCATTTGAATAATGAGACCATATCACCTTGAAACATCTTAGGCCTAACATCAATCTGACAAGAAGAAAAATAACAGAAACTCTGATTCAACAGAACGGTTCAATTCCGATATTCGCAGCGTTATCAACCGCATACCGTGGAAAAAATATAATTTGTTAAATTGTTAATAATTTTTTTCTATTTTGGTGTCATATCGAAGTCTTTTCGACACTAAAAGTAGTTTCGAAAAGAAGCTCTTTGTGACACTCCTTTTTCACTTATCGGAGGTTGGTTACACTGGCTGACTGATGGCCATCGAACTGTCATTCGCGATTTTATAATAGAAGATTTCTATATTTGGCATGCAGTGCTACCAACCTAAACATATGAAATCAGAAAATATGAAATAAAATTTCCAAGAAAAATTTGTTTCTTTTAAATTAAACAATACCAAAATAGAAAAAATAGTATAAAATATTCGTTTCATAAGACATTTTATCGCACTCGCCATTTAGAAAACTCGCCTCCGGCTCGTTTTCTAATATAGGGCTCGTGTGATAAAATGACGTCTTATGAAACTTGTATTTTATTGTACTATTATAATACTTAAGCTGAGTGAAAAATTTATTTCATCATCTAATGAAATTCAATTTTTTAATAATTGTTTAGATAGGTAGTGCTTTTACCGTCGCGTCAGTTCTCCCGAATATTTTCAAATCAGAGTACGTCTTAAAATATGTTCAAAACGAACCGAGTGCAAAGGAAGCCCCCGAAAACAAGATGACTGAATGGTCTGCTGCACCTTTACAAACCAACTACACATAAGTTATTTCGGACATCCGCGTGTATCTATCTTCATGGGAGGCATCGAGTTTCAAACAGGTGTCAGACTGGCTGGTCTATCGTGCACCCGATCTAGGAAAGCCGCAACTCATTATTATAAATGTTCCATTGTTCTTACTCGCGTAATCTGCTCGGCGATATCTTATCTTTTTGCATTTTAGCCTAAAATTTTGAAATTTGTTTCAGGTTATTCGGCATGAAACGGTGCGCCCGGTGCCAGGACAACATCCTATCTTCCGAGCTGGTGATGAGAGCTCGAGAGCTGGTGTTTCACGTGCACTGCTTCTCGTGCGAAATTTGCAACGCGCCCTTGACGAAGGGCGACCAGTTTGGTATGAGAGGCTGTTCGGTGCTTTGCAGACTTCACTTCGAAGTACCGCCTTCTTCGGGGATGTTTCCAGTCCATGGGTTTTCGGAAAAAGGTAACCAACTTAGTAATTAAGAGTGTATTCAAGGTTTGATGCAACAACGATGGGGAAAAATTCATTCTAATAAACTTTCCACAATTGACATTACTATAACATAAAAACTGATGTCGGTGTTAGGGACCGATATTTGAACTGAATACTTTTTTTAAATCGAGCGTAACCTCTTTTTATCAACGTATACATTTTTTAAAAAATGATATGCAACAATTCTACAAGAAAATCTATAGAGCGTGAATCGAAATTGATATATCTGCTATGTCATATGGCTTTATTATTAGGTGTGTCGAAATTAAGTTCCTGTCTTATTGGTTTAGGGTTCATTAAACTACATAATTAGGAGGATAGTTCCTTAAGATAACATCGATATTTTACCCAGATAGTTTCTGAATTTGATTTTGATGAGCTTATCAGGCATACAAAGTTCACGAAATGTAGAAATCTCCATGCACTGCACGAAAAGAATACTTTGGGTGCCGAAAAAGTTTTGATTAAAATATGCTCATTGTAAAAATTTCGAGCATATTATTGAAGATCGGGGGAAGTTAACACAGGTAAAAGGATCCTACGCAGGAAGGGGGAAGTCAGAGACTTCTTAGGACAATGTCTGCTTAATTTTGGAATCAATCTACATATGGTGATTCTAAAATTGATTTGGTTCAGTCAATATTCCGACGCCTGTTGGCAGCTTTCCATATAGGTCAAATGCGGATGTGTGGATGGTGATGATTTTCCTAAAATGCATACACGCTCTTCAGGCGAACATTAAAGTAGAGAAGTGGAGGAGCTTCATGGTACATACACGCCCTTCGGGCAAACCTTCAAATTAGAGGAAGGTTCCTACACAATGCAATGTAGGCGCCTAGTGCAACATTGTAAAAGTAGCATAAGGCGCCCCTTCAGCCACTAGCTGAGGGGTGACAGTTTAGTGGGCTTAGTTCTAGTTTTGACCCCACATAACAAAATTGCATCCTTAGAATGTACTGAGAAAAGATACTGTTTGCAATACCCAAGAACTTCCTGGAAAATCCATTAAGATATTCCTAGAATATATCTATGAGATTCTCAGTACATTCTGAAAAGAATATTCCTATTTGATTCTAAAAATATTCTTGAAATGTATATTCTCACATTCAAAGAATGTTTCTATGATATTATAGTTATGTTCTCAAAAGAATATTATACCAATATGCTTGACATATTCTTAGAATATATCTACATATTATTATATCATTCTCAATATGCATCCTAGACATAACATTCTTGTTTGATTCTAGAAATATACTTGGAATATTAATTTTCGCATCCAAATAATGCCCATTTCAGTCCTTTTATATGAAAGACAGTGAAAGAGTTGTTGGAAAACTTCTCTGGAAAACACAAGTGTTTAACCAAAACTCCGGTTTCGAGCGTCGCGGTAAGCACGCCAACTGAGAAAAATAGGTTCCAAACGCTAGGCAAGATGTAGATCTTTAATAGCGCGTGACTCCCTCTCTTGGAAGTCCTACAAAGCAAAAGAAAAAGAAACTACCTATAATATTTTTAGTAGGTTCTAGATAGAGCAATATTGTTTAATTGTTCAATCAAGATTTTTGAGTAGGTACTTTAGATAATTAGGTGAACAATATGAAAATATTCTTATCATGGTTACCTACCTACATAAACTTCTCAACACAACTTGGTAGGTATATTCTTAATACTTGATAGAGATATTAGCCGAAAGAACATTTTGTAGGGTACATTATAATAATGTTCGTATGACAATATTCAAATAAAGTTATATAAGGTAGGTTCTTAGCACAATCTTTCAGGTAGGTGCGTAGAAGCAACATTCCTAGTACATAAATAGAACGTCCAAAAATTAATATTTCAATCGAAACAATCTTAGGATATTCATTAAACATTCCTAAAAGAACATTCCAAAAGCACTTTGAGAGAATATTCTGAGAATATGGATGTTCTTCCACTGTTATGTGGGACAGAGGTCGGGTCTCAGTCAGGGATCTTATCTATGCTATTCATGTTAGCTTTGGGTATAATTAAATTAGATCTTCGAGTTTTAAGACTTAATGTTGTGTACCTACAATAGTTTAACGACGAGTATAACCTACAGTTATAAAAATGCAGTCATTTGTGGGTTCCATAGAACATTTTATTGTCGTTGAAGGCGATTTCGAGTCCTACAGGGAGAGTATGGAGCAATTATTCAAGGTAAATAATACAAAGAATGAGGTCAAAGGTCCCTTATTTATAACTCTGATTGGCCCAAAAGCTTACAAGTTATTAAAAAGTCTAATGCGGCCTGAGAGCCCTACGTGAAAATCCTTTATGGGTATAGTCGAGGTTTTAGAAGAACATCTTACACCAAAAGTGTCAGTAATTGCTGAAAGGTACAAGCTCAATAGTGGGAATCAAAATCCAGATGCGTCGTTAACTGATTATATAGTGCAATTAAAGACCTTTTCAGCTTCTTGTGAATATGGAAACTTCCTTGATCAGGCTCTGAGAGATCGTTTTGTTTGTGGTATTCGATGTGAGTCAGTCGTACAGAGATTATTGACAAAGGAAAATTCATTAAAATTTGATAATTTGATAAATTATGAAATTTCAACTGTACAGTCGAAATTAGTCTTTCCACGAACTTATGTACATCAAGTTAAGTCACAATAAGGTAGGTCAGCGTCAGCAGTGGAAAAAAAAGCAAACCCAAAGTTCAAGCAGCTTTCAGTCAAACAGTCAAAGTTGTCCACAAAATAAGGTAAACTGGAAACAAGACAATCAAGCACAGTTTATTTTGGGTGTGAAAGACAGCACAATCCAGATACATGTCCTGCAAAAACTAGGAATGTTTTGTAAACAGAAGTCCAAAGAAGTCAAATATGGTGAAGGTGAAGAAAATTCAGTCTGAAGAGGAAGGAATATGATGAGCCAATGTTCCAATTTAAAGCAGGAGGAATATGTCACAATAATTAAAATTTCAAGCGAATGTGAACTCGTTGTCAGCAACGGCGCCCGCAGAATTTGTCACAGGGGGGAGGGGGGGGGGGGGGGCAAATAAACTGCTCTCGGGGGAATCGTGGAAAGCGCACCGCAGGCGGAAATTTTTTTGGGCCACACCCAAATTTTGCTAATTGTAACTAATATAATTAACATTAAAAAATAAAACAATTTGGAAATACTTTTATTTCGGACGGAAAAAAAAGTTAATTCTCTGTATCTTTTGATAGGTTCAACAGTTACTTTTCCTTGTGGAAAAAAAAATTTAAAAAATTGTAATCAAAACATAACGTAAATGAAATATTCCAAATTAAATAAATAGTATATTGTTTTATTAGGAGTAAAAGTGATACTTTTTGTGGCGAGACTAACAGCTGTATGCAACATCCTCTTTTAACTTAAAAGCGCTTTTTAAAACTGGTCACTTTTAAAAATGTGTATTCTGAACCACACAAATTTTTAAAGGTACCAGTTTTTAAAAGCGCTTTTAAGTTAAAAGAGGATGTTGCATACAGCTGTAAATGTTTGACGGCCGAACGTAGTGAGGCCGACAATTTTAGACGAGCCACAAAAAGTGTTTTTCTCCGAATAAAACATGCGATTTTTTTCGCAAACGGTGTTCAAAGCGATGGAATCTAGGAAATTTCTGTGACGTCACCTTTTTGTCCGTCCGTGAGCGTATAAAAAAGTACTTTTTTGTACGCTCACGGAACGCGCGGACAAAAAAGTAACCAAAAAAATGACGTCTGTGAAGTCAAACTTCAACCTTAAGAATTGAGGTTAAAAAAGTCGTCATTTTTTGACGTTTGCGAAAAAATACATTTTTTCTACAACTGTCAAAAAATGATGATGTTCGCACACTCCTGACAGTTTGCGAAGTGACACTTTTTTTCCCAGGTATTGATTTTTTAACGTTCCCATGACGCCATGCGCGAACTGGCTATTTCGAGCACGTGTGCGCGAAATAGCTAGTTCGCACACTGGGTGTCATGGTGACACATACCTGTCAGGAAACCAAAAATAATTAAAATTCACCTACTTTTATTTGAAAATGCAATTTTAGCTTCGAATGATCGATATTTAAATGGAGTTGTAGAAAAAATATTGTTTACAACTCGGGCGCGAAATGCTACTTTGGTGATCGAGATCTGATTTTTTTAACGAGGCGTAGCCGAGCTAGATACAAAAATAACTATTTCCGACTAGGTAAATGCAAATTGAATTCTTCTTGAGTCTCTCCCAAACCTATTAATAACTTCTTCATAAAAATCTTTATTAACCAATTTATTCATTAATGATCGATGAATTCAAATCAAAAAAAATAAAAATGGAAAAAAGAAAGAAAAAAAGAGAATACCTAATTATTATTATTTTTTTTTCCTCTTTTATTTTTAAGTATTTATAATAAAAGCCAGGGGGGGGCAGATGCCCCCCCCCTCCGGGCGCCCATGGTTGTCAGTGTCGGAAACAAAATCATTGAGATGGAAATTGACACAGGAGCTGGTGTAAGTGTGATTTCTCAACAAGATGTATGTTTAGTGTATATTGGATCTGTCGAATGCTTATCTGCAGTTTTCAGTTAATAAGCCAAGACAAGAGTTATTAACAGTTAGCACTCCTATCGGATTAGTTAAATACACTAGATTACCCTATGGAATTTTCAGTAGCCCGGCTAGATTTCAGTCAACTATAAAACAAATCCTAAAAGGTCTAGAGTTTGTGGGAGTTTATCTAGATGATTGTGTAATATCAGGAAAAAATAAATCAGATTGCATTAGGAATGTAGACATAGTTTTGCAACGATTTGAAATACACAACCTCAAGTTTAACTAAGACAAAAGTATATTTTTTCAGTCGGTATTAGAGTTTTTAGGTCACACCTTAGGTAAACAAGATATGAAACCATTGAAATCGAAAGTAAAAGAAATCATTGATGCCCCTGTCCCTACTAATTTGACACAACTAAAGAGTTTTCTTGGCCTGTTAAATTTTTATTCTAA